CTGTAGTTTGCATGTAGATTGCAGCTAGGCACTCAAACTAGTAGTCTCACAGTGCAATTTGAATTCATATCTTTATTTTCTAATGACTTAGAAAATACAAAATAACATAAATCAAAGTAACTGAAAATCCAAAGTGAAAACTTGACCAAAAATCCAGGTCAACAGATCATTGCATTTCTCACAATCCAAAAAACATCACTGTTAGTTTATCTTGTGTATCTACATTTCCCTTAGTTTTGTATGTTTCTGTTTAGACCTGCACTGGACTGGTAATCTGTCCATTGTGTACCTCTCTGTCAGAAGGCTTAGAATGTAGGACCCAGAATTTAGACTAGGCAGAAAATTATAACTTCAAATGCGTTCATTGAAAAAGCTGCGTGCGGCTGCTCGACAGCTGAGGCGGGCTCACTGGAAACGCTGCAGGGATGGAGACTCAGGTCAGTGACTTCAGAACTCAAACAGAGAACGACAATGAGCATGAAAGTCACCAACCTGCCAAAGTTCAGTCTGAGCTCATACGAAGGAGTGAAGTCCAGAGCAGAGGTACTCCGCAGTTTGAAACTGAGCCGGTACCAGAGATCCAGAAGAGAAGAGGAGCAGCGAACTGCAGCAGCCAGAACACACAGAGGAACCCAGGAGACAAGAAGGGCAAATCCAAGCCATGGTCAGGAGATAGGTCCAAGGTCAACAACAGGCAGAATCCAGGTAACAGTCCGAAAACACAAGACAGGCCAAAACAGAGCAGAACACGGGAGGCCAAAACTCAGAAGTTCAGGGGCAGGAACAAGTCAGGATCAGGCAGAACTAAAAACATACAGGAACGCTAGAATTAGTCTTGCTCGAATAATCTTGCACCAATAGCTGGGAACCGGTGGCATAAGTAAGTTGCAGAAACAGATGGATTGGATGATAGATAATGAGCATAGGCCAGAGCAAAGCAAATAAGAGAAAAAGGAGTAAAACCCAGCCTATGGTGCCAAGATTATGACACCTTGTCTTTTGTCCATAGACTGCTGGAGATCCTGCAAATCTTATGGAAAAACAATAGAATATGGAAAAATTGCTCTTTGTGTGAATAATTTCCTAAAACATATTTTCCATTTAAATGAAAACCAAAGGGCATTCATATAAAAAGCTATTTCATATTTGGTTTATTTTCAGATAATTCCACTTTGGTAGTAAGCCTTTAGCTTCAGCCTCCAGCACCAACTACTCTGGATTTGCACAAAGCAAAACCAAGATACCAAGACAGTTTTAGGCTATGATTTAAACTACTTTAACAAATCTTTCTTAAAACAACTACTTTTAAATTTTTTTTCCATGGAAATATTGCTCAATATGTAAGCATAATTCTTACCAATGACTTTTATTTCATTCTACACGGGCCTGCCATTCCCACTAAAGAGCCACATATAGCATTTCCACTTTAACAGCCCGCACCGTAAATTTAAAATGATTGCCCACATCCATAATGGAAATCAAATAATCCCTGTCATTTTTCTCTTGTGGCTTTGTTCTACACAATTAATAGAGTTACCTGATGAGAACTGCCTCCCACACTGCCTGGGACATTGAAACTTAACAGGGAAGCATCAGGCATTGTGATGAGAATATGTATCGACCACTGGCCGTCTCCCTCCCATTATGCTTAGAGGAAATCAATGTCTCAGATGTGAGTCCATTTCCTTCGTTGGAGAAGCAAATTCATGCTGCCTGACCCTGAGGGAAATTTTACAGGCTTTTTCTCACTTAAGTGAGAGTGGGAGATCGGGAAAGACAACGTTATGCAAGACTAAGATGTTGGGAAATGTGAGGGAACATAATAGGAATGCATGACATAAAAAAACAGGAAACAGGAGATATAAAGGGATTGTAAAAGCTGGTCATAGGCGCACAAAATGTAAACAAAAAGACAAAAGGACTAGTCAAATGTTCTTGTTGTATGTTAGTGTATTTGTGTAAATATAAGGGAAATGTAGGGTAACATGAGCTGCTGTATAGGGTCTTGTATATAATGAAAAGGGATATATGTCCTCTTAAAGTATAAAGAAATCAAGGGATAGTTCTTTTTAAAAAACTGCCTAAAAGGACAAAGAAACATTGTTATGGCCTATGTAATCCGTCCTGCAGAACATGTTTATTAAAAGCTCACGATAAGGGTTTGAGCTAGAAATAGAGCATATTTTTACTCTTAAAGGACCTTTAAAATCTGACAAAAATAATGTAATTCTTCCAGATCACAGCACAGGGAAGGACTTCAATTTATGAATTAATGAATAACCATAGTGGGTGCTTGGATGTTTTTCATTGTTTATTAGTTTTGGAAAAGGTAGTGCTCTGGAACAGAGGGGTGTGATTTATTCATGACGATGACTGAATGAGTCACTCGATCTAGAGGCACTCAGAGGCTTCACTAAAGGTGAGTAAAACTGTTTGTGCCCTTCTGGAAAAATAACTCCAGCTTTTTTAGCCACAGTGCAACACTTAAAGCTCTTTGTTATGTTAAACATAAATTGTGGGAATCTTTGTATCCTAAACTGTACTAGGGATCTAAAATGACCCTTGATTTCTTAAAATGCAGTATCCAGAAAACCATTGTATTTTTCTTCATTTTGACACATCAAAAGCACAAACCTTGAAAATTTCATTGCTTCTTCCAATAAAACTGTATATGTATGTGTCTCTTTTAGGACTGCCCTGCCTTTTTTTTCCAATTTGGCTCCAACTTTTATTAGATTGCACACAGTGTGATGCTCCCCTTTAGGACTTGCAGGTTCCCTTCACATCTCCAGACTGATCTTCAAAAAAATAAAATAAAGGTGCTAAAACGTTTGTACAAGAGAAAAAGAAAACACACATGCAAGAACTAGAAATGTTAAAGGTGATCTACGATTGCATGCACTGTTGATAGACAAAAGAAAAGTAAATAAGAAAAATTGCATGATACTGGTGATTTGGGGGTTGAAGTTCTGAGTAATGGAAATGGAGGTACTAATAATAATTATGAAAATGAATAATAATGATAGTAATTATGAATAATGTTTAAAGTGCACTTTAAATCCAAGTGCTTCGAT